AAAAGTAAGGGACATAGACATTGATTAGACATGGAGCTAAGCATCTGATTGGGGACCAGATACATAGCTCATTTCAATACCATGTGATGAGTGTCACCATGGGGATTATGGCAGGTGCCTTAGAAGCATGGCATCTTGAGAACAATGCCTCAGAAAACCAGTAGACCTAAATAAGCGAAAAAAAAAAAGGGGGGGAAGATTGCAAGGATTTGGCATTCCAGGTAATGGGAATAGCATGATCACAGGCATGGGAATATAGAATTCTGATGCATGTGGGAAATCCTAAATTGTAGCCTGAAGTGCAATCTGGGGAATGGCTCTCCATTTCACTGAGGACAAAGCCCAAACTCCTCAGCCATGTGTATGATGTCTTTCGTGATCTGGCCCTAGCTTCATTTCTTAGCACCTGTCCCACCCACCCTCTATTCTTGCACCATATTGAACTACCTGCAGTGACCAACTCAGTGCCTGGCACATAGTAGTTTCTTCCATACATGTTCATTGAATGAATAAATGAGTGGCAGAAGACAAGCATGGAAAGGCAGGCAGTGGCTGAGCCGTGGAGGACTCTGCTTGGAGTGTCGAAACCGAGATGGTTTATGCACCTAGGCAAGGCTGACTGTCTCAGAGGACCCTGTGTATTCATCAGAGAATTCAGTTTCTGGGTCTTCAATATTCAGGCTTCTGCTGGAGTGGACTTTGTGTCCTCGAATTCTCTATCTTGTCTCTCCAACTAGATTGTGACTCTTTGAGGGCAGAGATCATGTCCAATGTCTCATCCAGTGTTGGACATCAGTACATGTTGAACTAAATCTGTTTGTAGAAAGAGCTGGAATTGCCTGTTTACATCTCCACAGAAAGGGGAAACATGAGATTTGATCTAGGGATGCCTGTCTGAGCATTAGAATAATCACAAAAGCTGAATTTAGAAGCCAGTCCCCCCTGCTGCTGGCTCAACCATGACGGCAGGGTGGATCCCCTGAAGCTGGCCACACCACAGTGGTCGCGTCTTCTCCCAGCAAGTGGTGCAGAGCTGTTGGGCAGTGAAGGGCAGAATAGGCCTTGTGAGGTTCACGGGCAGCGAGGCACTTTCCTCTACCAGCCAGACTTAGAGCAGTAAGCCTGAGGCAGAAGGATGGAGAGAGCTTTTTTCTTCTTCAAGTTCCATGGCAGAGAAAGCAAGATACTTCACTTCCCTAAGATTGGTTCCCTAAAAGATTGTGAGATGTGGGTGAAAAGCCCTTAGAATGCCAAAAGCAGGAAGCAGAGGAACATATCAGTTGCATTGCTTGTTAACCACTAGCATTGACTATTTACACCTGAAAGCAAATAGGAAACAGCTCAGAATGAAGAACTTCCTGGAAATAAGCACTACATAGAGGCAGAATAGCAGAGGAGTAAGAACACCAAGTTGGTGTTAGGCAAATCCGAGCTTGGTTTGAATCTGAACTCTACCACATACTGTGGGATTATGAGCTGGTTACTTTACCTTTGAGCCTTGATTTTCTCATCTGTAAAACAGAGATAATGTTGCCAACCTATTTTGTAGTTGTGAAGACTCCATGAGATAATGGGTGTATAGCATGGTGGTTAGGAGCGTGGCCTCTAGAATTAGACTCCCTGGGCCCAGACCTTGACTCCCATCACTTCCTAGCTGTGGTCTTGGACAAGTTACTTAAATCTCGGGCTCCAGTTTCCCATTCTCACAGTCAGGATAACAACAGTTTCTACACCATTGGTTTGACGTGAGGCTTAAATGAATTTTATTTCATGTAAAGCTCTTAAAATAATCTTGGAACATAGTAAGAGCTCAACAAATCTTAGATGTTTCTGACTACACACAGCTTCCTGTCTGGCTCAATAAATTGAAGCCGTTATAAGAATCAGAAAAGATGTAGATCAATCAGTGTCATCACGAAAGCTTGGGTAAAAGAGGCCTAGAAGGGGGACAGAAACCAGAGAGAAGAGGGGACATTTGTTGGGGAATGGATTAAGCAAAAGCTTTGGAAATCAGAACAGCGAGGCTGGCCTGACCAGAAGATGTGCCAGGGTGGAGTTGAACGGCTGGGTCTTGTTTAAAATTAACTTAAGTAAATTTCTTTAAAATATCCAGTTTCTATAACGTGGTACAAATAACAACAGCTACCCCTTCCTGGGTGTTTGCATCGTGCTGAATGCTTCATATTTTAAAAATCTCCTTTCCTTCTCACAGCTATCCCCTGTGAAGAATAGTAGCTCTTATCATTCTCAGATTATTTTATTTCAGTGAGAAATTCAGCTCAGAGCTAAACACTTGTTCAAGATCTCCTTGCTAGTGAGAGGCGGGACTGAGATTTGAACCCAGATTTGTTGAACCCATTCTGAGGTTCTCTGAGGCAGGAACAGTCCTACCACAGAGGAGTTGCTACAGAGCCAAAGTTCTCATGACGCCAAAGTTCTGGGGGAATCTACCTTGGAAGCTCTCAGACCCTCGCCGTATGTGGAACAGAAAGGCCACTAACAGTCACCCCTTGTGCTGGAGAGTTGGGCTCCAAGTTTCATTCCCAGCTAGTTGGTGCCAGTGTCTAAGTCTAGTGCGAGTCAGAGCTTTGACCTATCTAGTGAATAAACCCCATACGGTTCCAAGATGGCAGCCACAGGGCAGGGCAGCTCCCTGCCGGTGCATGATCACTAGGCCCTCGCGTCGCCAGCCCTGCAAGAGATACACATTCATGGTCTGTCAGCCGTCCCGCAGTACAGCTTCCCACCACACCTGATTTGAAGCAGCATCTGAAATGAGGCTGGGTACAATGCTGTGGAGGCAATTCCAAGTCATTTCAAAGAAAGGTCAAGCTCTTTTCTCTTCCTTTCAGATAAGCAGATTTGTAGCTGTCCCTACCCCGTACTCCTTCTGTATAAAACCAACTTGAAGCTGCCTCCATTCAGTGTTGGCTGACCATTCCTGCTTTTAAGAGATTGAGGCCATCCTGGCCAACATGGTGAAACCCCATCTCTACTAAAAATACAAAACTTAGCTAGGCGTGGTGGCGTGCACCTGTAGTCCCACTGCTTGGGAGGCTGAGGCAGAAAAATTGTTTGAAACCAGGAGGCGGAGGTTGCAGTGGGTGGAGATTGCACCACTGCACTCCAGCCTGGCAACAGAGTGAGACTCTGTCTCAAAAAAAAAAAAAAAAAAAAACAGTCCAGAGTAGAAAAATACTTGCTGAATTATCAACACAATAGAAATGAAAACCTATGTGCACACAAAAACCTATATGCTTTTTTTTTTTTTTTTTAGATAGAGTCTCACTGTCCCTCAGGCTGGAGTGCAGTGGTGTGATCTCAGCTCACTGCAACCTCTGTCTTCCGGGGTCAAGTGATTCTCGTGCCTCAGCCTCCTGAGTAGCTGGGATTACAGGCGCCCACCACCACGCCTGTTAATTTTTTTGTATTTTTAGAAGAGACAGGGTTTCACTATGTTGGTCAGGCTGGTTTCAAACTCCTGACCTCAAGTGGTCCGCCCGCCTCAGCCTCCCAAAGTGCTGGGATTACTGTGCCCAGCCAAACCTACATGCAAATGCTTATTGCAGCTTTATTCACAATCTCCAGAAGCTGGAAGCATCCCAGTGTCCTCCAACAGGCTAACAATGGAACACTACTCAGCAACAAAGTATCGAATCACTGATCCACACAACATGGGCAAACCCCAAGTGCATTCATTATGTTGAGGGAAAAAAGCCGGACTCAAAAGGCCATACACGAATTCCATTTATATGACATTATGGAAAAGGAAAAGCGATGGGGTGGGAGAGCAGACTCGTGGTTGCCCAGGGTTAAGGGTTGGGGAGGTTCAACTACAAAGGGACAGCACGAGGGGAGTCTTTTGGGGATGATGAAAGTTTTGTATCTCAATTGTTGTGATGGTTGCATGATAGAACTGTATACCAGAGTGAATTTCATAGTATGTTAATTTTAAAAAGTCAAGCAACTGGGCTGGGCATGGTGACTCACGCCTGTAATCCCAGCACTTTGGGAGGCCGAGGTGGGTGGATCACCTGAAACCAGCCTGGCCAACATGGTGAAACCCTGTTTCTACTAAAAACACAAAACATTAGCCAGGCGTGGTGGCACATGCCTGTAATCCCAGCTACTTGGGAGGCTGAGGCAGGAGAACTGCTTGAACCTGGGACACAGAGGTTGCAGTGAGCTGAGATCGTGCCATTGCACTCCAGCCTGGGCAACAAGAGTGAAACTCTGTCTTAAAAAAAAAAAAGAGTCAAGCAACTGTTGAAGGTTTCAGGAAAAAATTGTAGTGAGGTGGGGAAGCAGGGAACTACATATAGATACAAGTTAATTTCGATGGATCCCCGAGAGAATAAAGGCTCACTGTATTCAGTAACAAACAAGCTTGCTGTTCTCAAAATACATCTGATAAAACTGGGGTTTGTTGGACTTCAGCTGCGTAAAGAACAGAGAAGTCACAGGTATGTCTGGTGTAAGAAATTAGACTTTGCTTCTAAGAAATTACAGTCTGTGCTAGAACTAAACCCTTCAAGTTCCACGAGCCATTATCTGAGATGATCAGTGTCTGACTGCATCCTAGGAAAGTCCACAGAAATGCTGTCTTCAGTGGAATCCTGTCCCAAGGGGCATGCCCAACCTACACGATGCACCCCAACGCTGTCTGTGAAACTTACTTGGATGAATGTTAAGATCAGTGCTTACCTGAGGACCATGACTTTGTGGCTTAGATGATTCTTCCTTTGCCAGGAAGGTCAATTATATACTAAACTCTGAACATGTGCTGACTGTATGTCTTTCCTGATTAAATGCATTGTTCTAATAAGTTCATCAAGTATAAAACCTAGTGATGATGGATTGTTTTTTTCTCCCCTCACCTTGCTGCTGGAAGAAAGATAAAGCCAATGTAGGACTTGGGACGATCAGATCCAGAGTTAAAGTCAGGCTTCACAGCTGCCCAAATTAGCCAGGTTCTAAAGAAAAATCACGCGACCGACCTATTTTGCTCATAAACAATTTTATTTTTTTTTCTCAGTATGTGCCCTTGAAGATTCCAAAATGTTGGAGTTTCTGATTCTCCTGGGACCAAAGGTAAAAGCATTGTATGGAAACACTCAACCTTGGCTCATTACTCTCCTGAGGAGCGAAGTCGGGAGGCCTCAGAGAGAGGGAGCTGACACTCACACCTTATTCCAAGATGGGTAACACAGTGAACAAAGAATTAGTAAAACATAGACTCAGTCTGTAGAGGGCTTCAAATATACATATTCTATATATATAAACCTGTTATATAGGATTTCAACTTATTGGTTTCCTTGTGATTGGTAATTAAAGTACAAATGAGAAAGATGTTGCACACTGCTGATTTCCCCTTCTCAGCCCCCCTCCCTCCCCAACATAAATAACATTACAAAGGTCAGCTGATCCTAAGAATTTTTGTTGTTGTAAATATTTTGTTTTAAAATTCATATTCCCCTTCCTCCCCTGCAAACTACCTCTGAGAGTTTGTAACATAGCAGCATGGAACGTACAAGACTGGGGACAGCATGGAGGTCTAATGGAGAGAGCGCAGAACGTTGCTTCTCACCGACGGGCACCAGATGAGCTTCTGCATTTCCACTGACAACAGAGGCTACGACAGGAAGCAGAGAATGAGCAATGCGGCTTCGTCCTCCTCCAAAGAGGAGGCTAGCTGGACCACTGAGAAAAGCCCTAAAGGCAGTGAGGTTTTTGGAGACAGAGCACAGCTCCAGAAATGTCTTGGCTCAGTATTTACACAATATCTTGAAGCTGCACTTTCCTTTTAAGAAATGTGTGTTTCTGAAGGTGCCTCTTCTGAGGCTGGTTGGGGGAAAGGAGAAACTTAAAAACAAACCAATTCCCGCATATGTAAAAGTCCTGTTACAAGTCTTATTTTCACACACATCATTAATAGTAGATACTGACAATGATTGGTTTCTTTTTTCTTTTTTTCTTTTTTTTTTTTTTTGAGAGCATGAGTAAAGAGAAAGAGAGAAAGAAGAAGTGCACTAAGGAGAGCGCCGTCCCTTCTTCAGCATTAAGTGACACTGGATGGTCTGGATTCGGTTCTTGGCCGGGACAAACTCGGGCTGAAGCTTCAATGTGGATTCATACCACACCAGTGCTTTTTCAAATTCTTCCTGTGAGGGTCAAGGAGACAAACGTGAGGGGATGGCATCACCAGGCTAAATATATACTGTGCCCTCTTTTTTCTCAAGAAGCACCTCTGTGCTAGGGACAACCCTGCAGCGTTTGCTCAATGGATCTAAGTCTCTGTGGAAAAGTCTGAGGTTCCTCTGGGAGGAAACAGCTGCCTTCATCCTCGAGGTATAACATCACAAAGGAAACTACGGCAGAGCCCAAGAACAAAAGGAAAAGGGGTAGAGCAGCTTTTACAAACCCAACAACAGTCGCAATTGTGGTAATAATAAGACCTAACTGTCCTGAGTGCCTGAAATGTGTCAGACACTGTGCTAGGTGCTTCATGAAATCCTTCCATTTAATCCTCACAGAAACCTCTAGAACCGTGCCTGACAAATGCCCATTATGCATCTGCCTAAATTTTCTAATGTAGCTAGAAAGACGGAAACTAAGTCAGGTATCTCAACTGGACTCGAACATTTTGAAGAGTTTTAAAATTCTCTTTAACATTTAAAAACTCCAACAAAGATTGGGAAATGATCCCTGCCATACTGAAGGTTAATCTTTTACTTAGAGTTACACTCTTAAAGAAGAGCCCAAATCAACTGGTTCAATGACTTCTAGCCAAATGAGAGACACAAGTCCTCGTTCATAGTAGCAAACTTCACGTTTACTGGGGGCAACAACAGATTCTTCAATTTAAGAAGCAGAGGGAAATCTGCATATTCGGCAATACCTCCCTGGCAAAATACTTCTCGCCTCTGAAGTCAAGGAAGCTGGCAGCCCAGGGCTGCTCACTCTATAAGCCATTACTGAGAGCATCTTGGGAACAGCCCTATGTGTGATGCCACATTTTAGATGAAAGTGAACAGCATGATTCTCATGCTAAACTGGGTTATGACAGCTTTTAGGGGGTCCCCCTGGGATTTTCAGTTCTGAAATCAGTTCTTGCTTCTGATCAGAATGAGGGATCTGGATGACTTTGCCATTTTCTCTCTAAATGGTATTCCATGAAACTAGTGGAATTTCATCATTCATTAACTACTTGGTGAGCGCCTACCATGTGCCAAAAACACTGTGAGGCACCGGAACAGGGAGGTGAAGAGGAGTCTTGTCCCCAACGAGCCCGTAGGCTAGAGGGAAAGACATATCCTTAAACAAAAAATTATAAAACAAGGTGAAAATCCAGCAAGAAAAACACGCACAGGGTGTCATGAGTGCGATGACAGGTACCTTAGCCCAACCTGGAAGCAACAGAGCATGTGTGTGCGTCTACATGGCATGTCAGGAGAGGTTCCCTGGAACAGGTGGTGTCTCCAGGAAATCGTAGGTAAATCTGACTCTGCTGTTGGTGTTCAACCCATGTTGAGGAACTACGTAGTTGCAAATACTTAGAAGAATTTCATGTATTATTTTTTTTAAACACCTCTCAAACCCTTATCCACAAAATATAACATTTTTTTTGTTTGTTTGGAGCTAGCAATTTTAGACAAGTTTACAGGAGACTGGTGGGCAATGACATGCTCAAAGAGGTTTTGAAATCAAAGAGGTGCTACTGTTTGGCAGAGTTGGTACATTCTGCTCACACCCCCATCTCACCATTGCCACGTAGACATTGCCCAGAGTGAAGTGGTTCACAGCAAAGTGTGGTGCGATCTCTACTGCCATGGTGGCCACTATGACGGCGTCATTCCAGAGCTTGGCATTGTGCAAGATGTTGGCCAGGCTAATCAGGGGCACATCCTGGGAGAAGAAGGAGAATGGTGAGAAGGGAAAACTGGGTTTTGAGCTTTCATTCTTGTTTTTGGTGATCATAAAGAATATAGTCGGTGCTTCCTGGTGAATGATGAGAATAGTGCCACTCAAAGCGCTTTTCTGCTGTTTGCTACTGGTCTGTGATAGATAAGGTGCTTGTACCAGAATATCAATCAATTCCTTCTTTCATTGGCGGAGTCTTGCTTCGAAAACCACACACAACAAAATGTCAGCTGAAGTAAACAATCTGCTGAATAATGTAGTTGGTTTCTTCTGGTGAAGCTCCTTGTCTCATTGCAGACTGCTAATAAAAAGTCTGTCTACTGTCCACAGACCACACTTGGAGTCATGCTGTCAGAAAGTCAAAATAATTTCTGCAAGAACCATCATATCATTAGGGGTTGGCAAACTGAGGCCTAACCTAGTCTGCTGCCTATTTTTTAAAAAGTTTTATTGGGACACAATCATTCCCAGTCCTGTACGTATTTCTGTGGCACTTTTCATACTACAATGCTAGAATTCAGTAGGTGCACCAGAGGCTGTCTGGCCTCCAGAGTCTAAGTGTTTTATTCTCTTGCCCTTTTCAGGAAGTTTGCTGACTCTTAGAGGTAGAGCCTCAGCCCTTCCCTATTGCCTAACAGTAGAGAGTACAAAATGATGGATGGAACAAGTAGCAATATTGTTGCAATACTGTTATCATCACAAATATCATTCCCTTTAAGTGCCTTACCTGAGCAATGCTACCTGTATCACGCCATATTGGGTTCTATAGCAGACACAGAAGAAACAGAAAAAAAGGACCCATCTTTGTGACAGCCATAGAATGCATGACCCTAGATGAGCTCATTGAAGTTCAATAAGGTGCCCAAATTCACAAAGCTAGTAAGAGGTAGAGCTGTGTTTAAAACTCAGCAATGCCTGGCAGTGAATCCTGTGTTCCTTCCATCATTCCATACACTGCCTTGATGAGCAAAGAAGACACCAGCCACGTCTTTAAAAAGTATAAGATCTGGATTAATGCAGAACTCGGAACAAATGGATACAAATGTGCTGATAAAAACCGTACTTTCTCACCCATCATAACAACAACTGGTCTTCCGGAAAAGTTTGGTGTCACACAGGGTTAGCTGGTTTGTTTTTTGTTTTGTTTTGTTTTGTTTTTGTGGAAACAGTAGAAGTCAGACAACGATCAGGGACTGACCAACGCATGTGAAGAAATGGAAATTCGCTTCTATCTCTGTGCTTGGAAGCAAGCTCAAGCCAAGAGGATAAGCAAAACAAGTCTAAGAGGTCACCAGGCCCCCGAGGACAAGCTAAACTCAGATTGACTTCTATGTGTCAGCCCACTTTGGCCAGTGCATTTGCTATATGTTGGGTGGCTCTGGACACAACAGAAAGGGGACTCAATGCAGTAACGTCTTACAGTGATCTGGAAGGCCTTCCCCACGTTCCAACCTGCTGAGGCTGGGGAGGCACGCAGCAGGGATAGTTCACAGGCTTGCTGGGGCACATGCCCAGTCAGAAGGTCTCCTGCCCCATTCTCTCCTTGTAACATGTCCTCACTGGCTGAGCATGAGGGAGGCTGGTTGAAAGGGCAGAATAAACCATGGGGAATGGAAAGGACTAAGGGGCAGAAATTCCCACCTTCTGAGTCCCACTCACCTTCATCTGGTGTGGTGCATAGTGCAGAGCCTGGCGGAGGCAGTCGATTGCCTTCTTTCCTTGGCCTTTCACCCTCCAGTAGAGGGCTGCCATGCTGGAGAGGACCCAGGACGTCTGGTTCTGCAAAGGAATGTTAGCTAAGGCTGGTGTCCTTTCAAGAACATACTCATTTATTACCAAGATTAAGTTCAGTTACACAAGTCACGACCATTCAACTGAGTATTTACTAAGTGCTGGCACTCTGCTTAGCACTTTCTGTTCCTCCTGTCCTTCATTAACCCTTAGAACAATCCTGTGAGCTTGATACTACTATTACAGCCCTTCTGTAAATGAGAAAACTATGACTCAGAGAGGTTAAGTGTCTTGCCTAAGTTCACTCAACTACTGAATAGCAGAACTATATCTCATATCTATGTTCTATTTTATTTAACTTTCTGAATAGGTAACATATTCACATGTTTTAAAAACCACAAAGTATACAAAGTTATACCGTGAAGTCTACCTCCCATCCTTGTCTCTATGGTAGACAAGTAAACGCTATTTTTAGTTTCTTAGGTTTCCTTCTAGAATTTCCTCCCCTCCCCTCCCCCCTCCCCTCTCCCTCTCTTTCCCCCTCCTTCCTCCCCCTCCTCTCCTTTCCTTTCTCTCTCTCTCTCTTTTTTTTTTTTTTCCTGAGACTGGGTCTCTCTGTCGCCCAGGCTGGAGTGCAGTGGCATGATCTCAGCTCACTGCAACCTTCATGTCCCGGGTTCAAGTGATTCTTCTGTCTCAGCTTCCCGAGTAGCTGGGGTTACAGGTGTGCACCATCACTCCTGTCTAATTTTTGTATTTTTAGTAGAGACAGGGTTTCGCCATGTTGGCCAGGCTGGTCTCGAACTCACGACCTCAGGTGATCCACATGCTTCGGCCTCCCAAAGTGCTGGGATTACATGAGCCACAACGCCTGGCTGGATTATAACAATTTAATCTCCGGCCAGAAATATGTAAGTATCACCACTTCCTTATAGCCCCATCACAGAGTTTGTTACTATACTCTTAGGCCTCTGCCAATCTGATGGGTGAGAAATGTGGTTTTAATCTGCATTTCCCTTCTTATGAGTAGAGCTGACCATTCTTTCATATTTGTTAGCCTTTTGTACGTCTTTTCTGTAAACTATCTGCTTTTATATTTTAATTGTTCTATGAGGCTTTTGTCTTGTCTGTTGGTAAAAAGTTCTTTATATTTTAGGGAGATCATCCTTGCCTATGATTTACAGATACGTTTCCTGAGTTTGAAGTCTGTCTTTCGACTTACGGTACTTTGTGTGATGCAGATTTTGATTGCTACAGAATTTGTTTTTTTCATGATCTTCAATGACTTCTGGATTTTCCAGTTGTAGTTAGGAAGCCCTATCTCATTCCAAGGATATCAAGAAATTTTACTGGGCCAGGTTTGGTGACTCACAGCTGTAATCTTAGTGCCTTGGGAGGCCAAGGCAAGAGGAGATCAGCCTGGGCACCACAGCAAGATCCTGTCTCTACAAAAAATAAAAAATTTAGCTGGGCATGATGCTGTGCATCTGCAGTCTCAACTACTCAGGAGGCTGAGGCAGGAGGATCACTTGAGCCCAGGAGTTTGAGGTTACAGTGAGCTATGATCACACCACTCAATGCACTTTAGACTGCGGGAGACAGACTGAGACTTTGTCTCTTAAAAAAGCAAAAGAAATAAATATTTTACCATTTCCCCTATAGAATTTTTATAATTTCATTTTTTACATTTAAATATTTGATCCATTTGAAATTTAATCTGCTATAAGGTAAAAAATATGGCTCCAACTTAATTTTTCTCCAGATAGCTACTAATTTGTCTCAAAATTTAATTAATAAAATTCACCTCTCTCCCCAGTGAGATACTACCTTTACTATAGATAAAACTACAGTATTTAATTTAGGCTGAATTTTGAATTTAGGTCTAACTTTGGATTTTTAAAATCTATTTCATTTGCAACTTTTGGTTGATCTCTGACTCCCAGCCATTACAGAAGAGGCACTCAGAAGACATAACTGCTTGTCAGATTTCGGTTTTCAATAACATTTTTGTTAATTTTAGAATTCTACATTGTCAGGGAGTATAGTATTTACCTTCTGACCTATCACCCTATGCCTCACCTTTGTTTTAGTATTGGTTTTACAGCTGAATATAATCAGTGATCACTGACATTACCTTTGTGTGTTTTTCCCAATCATCTCCTGGTTGGCTGAAGCTCATCTTCTAATAGTTTCCTCAAGAAGGGCTCATGGGAACAATATTCTTTGAGATCACTGCTATGGGTTGAACTATGTTCCCCCAAATTTCATATTTTTAAGTCCCAATCCCCTGTACCTCAGAATGTAACTGTATTTAGAGGCCTTCAATGCAGTGATTAAGTTACAATAAGGCTATTAGAGTGGGGTCCTAACTCTAAATGACTGGATTTGTATGAAAGAGTTAGAAGAGGAGAGACACACCAGGGTCCTATGTGCACAGAGGGACAACCATGTGAAGAGGCAGCATGAGGCCAACTGCAAGCCAAACAGAGAGGTCTCAGGGGAAACCAACCCTGCCAGCACTTTGATCTCAGGCTTCCAGCCTCCAGACCTGTGAAATAAATTTCTGCTGTTGAAGCCACCCTGTCTGTGGTATTTTATTCTAGTGGCCCTAGCAAACCAATACACTCATATATGTTGAAAACTTTCTGTCTGGTGCTTTCAGAGCTAAAAGACAGCTTGGTTGGATTTAAAACCACAGCTTAGTCTTTCTTCGAATAATGTATTGGCATTTCTATATTGCCTCTTGGTGTGGAATGCTGCTGAGAGAAATCTGAAGCTAGGCCGACTTGTTTCTCCTTGTTAAGTGACTTGCTCTTTTTGACTGGTATTCTAAAAGGATTTTAAATAAAATGATCTTAGGCCGGGTGTGGTGGCTCACACCTGTAACCTCAGCACTCTGGGAGGCTGAGGCAGGCGGATCACTTGAGGTCAGGAGCTCGAAACCAGCCTGGCCAATGTGGTAAAAACCCATCTCTACTCAAAACACAAAAATTAGCCAGGCGTGGTGGCAGCTGCCTGTAATCCCAGCTACTCAGGAAGCTGAGGCAGGAGAATCACTTGAACCTGGGAAGAGGAGGTTGCAGTGAACCAAGACTGCACCACTACACTCTAGCCTGGGTGACAAAGCGAGATTCTGTCTCATATTTATTTAATGCTAATATTTGACACACAAAAGAACATAAATCATTAAATACATGTATAATATATTATTTCTTCTTTTTTCTGAGGCAGCTCTTGCTCTGTCCCCCAGGCTGGAGTGCAGTGGTGTGATCATAGCTCACTGCAGCCTTGAACTCCTGGGTTCAAATGATCTTCCTGTCTCAGCCTCCCACCTCAGGACTACAGGCATGCACCACCATGCTTGGCTAATTTTTAAATTTTTTGTAGAGATGTGATCTTGCCATGTTGTCCAGGCTGGTCTTGAACTCCTGGGCTAAAGTGATCCTCCTGCCTCAGTCTCCCAAAGTGTTAGGATTATCGGAATGCACCACCGTGCCAAGTAAATATAAAATTATATAACATAGTTAAATAGTAAGTATATAACTATGCAAAACATATTCACGCTGTAAAACATACAATAATGAATATTCCAGAAATGACCACCTTACTGAAAAATGAACTTGTATTTACCGATGTGTTCTTACACCATTCCATCCTCACCCACTATTCTAAATGTTATCTTTAGTATTCCATTTCACCTTTTAAACATAGTTCTATCTCTGACATACATGTATACTTGATTTAACAATATACATTAGTTTACTTCTTCCTGCACTTTATGAAAATGGTACAGTAGTTCCTCCTACTTGAAGGGGATACATTCCAAGACTCACAGTGGATGCCTGAAACCATGGATAGCATCCAGTTTTATATCTACTATGTTTTTTTCACTCTGATAACTGAGAGGCAGGAAGCATCTACAGTGTGGATACACTAGGTAAAGGGACGATTCACATCCCGTGTGGATCGAGCCCAACAGCAGGTGGTTTCATCATGCTACTCAGAATGGTGGGCAACTTAAAAACTTATAAATTATTTTTTTTGAATTTTCCATTTAATATTTTTGGACCATGATCGACTGTGGATAACTGAAACTGTGGAAAACGAAGCCGCACATAAGGGGGGGACTATGGCATACTGTATGTAGACCTGTCGAACTTGGGGCTTTTTATTCAACATTATATTTCTAAGATTCATTCATGTTGTATTTATTCAATTCCCTGCTACACAATTAAATGCTCATTAAGTTGAATACACTACATGGTATTTACCCATTTTCTGTAGATGGGCATTTAGATTGCTTCCTGTTTGTCTCCTGTTACAGTCTAGAGTAGATACCGAAGAGTAGAATTTCTGGGCCACAGGATATGCATATGTTCAAAAAAAAAAAAAAAAAACCCCAAGAGATTGCCAAATTGTTTCCCAAAGGCGCTATGCCAACTTACAGCCCCATTAGCATTGTTTAAAAGGACCTCTTGATCCGTATCCTTCTTAACCCTAGGTATTATTGGTGAGGGGAAAATGGCATCTTCCTGTGGTATTACTTTGCATTTCCTGATTACTAGTGAGATTGAGAATTGTTTCTCATGTTTATTCATCACACAGATCACTTCTGTGAAATGCCTGTTAATATCTTTAATGCATTTTTCTATTTTATTACTTTTCATCAATTTATATGTTTCATATATTAATCTTTTGTAGATTAAATGTGTTATACATGTTTTCTCTCTAGCCTGCCTCTCTTTAATTAAACAAATTAAACTTTAATATACTTGAATTCATTAACATTTTCTTTTATAGTTATTTTGTGTCTTCTTTAAGAAGAAAACTTCCCTTACTCCATAGCCAGAAAGGTCATCTCCTATATTTTACTCTAATTTTTAACATTTTGTTTTTGATACTTGAGTCCTTAATTCATGTGGAATTGAATTTTTGTGTCAGATATGAAGATTGAAATTAACTTACGCAATTGCCCCAGTACTATTTCTTGAACAGTCCCTTCTCTTCCTACCAATTTTCAATATTACTTTTTAAATATATCACAGTTC